TAGATGGAACATTAAAAGAACAATTTAGTACAATCAGAAGCTACTGTTTAGAGTTGTTAAGGTCCAATGTTGGTTCAACTATTGTCTTAAAACTGAGCAATTGTGAAGAACAATCAAGGCAACCTGTGTTCCAGAGACTGTATGTTTGTTTTGATGCCTGCAAGAAGGGTTTTAGGCACTGCAGAAAAATCATTGGTGTTGATGGGTGCTTCTTGAAAGGCCCCCAAGGTGGTCAGCTCTTAACAGCAGTGGGAATTGACCCAAATAACCAGATTTTTCCTGTTGCTTATGCAATAGTTGAAAATGAGAATAAAGATTCTTGGATGTGGTTTTTGAGGTTGTTACAGAATGATTTAGGGATTGATAATGAACTTGAATGGACTTTCATGAGTGATAAACAGAAAGGGTTTATCCCTGCCTTTGAAGATTTGTTCCCCAATGCTGAAAACAGATTTTGTGTTAGGCATTTACACAGCAACATGAAAAGAGATGGGTTTATTGGTCAGTCAATAAAAAATGCTTTGTGGGCTGCAGCCAGAGCAACTAGGGTGGAAGTTTTTAGTGCAAAGATGGATGAATTGAAAGAGTGATCCAAAGGCTTATGAGTGGCTGGTAAATAAACCTCCTCATCAATGGTCTCGGTCTCACTTCAAAACTTCACTGAAGTGTGATATTTTACTGAACAATATGTGTGAGTGTTTCAATTCTTTCATCTTGAATGCAAGGGACAAACCAGTCATTGTGATGCTTGAGACAATAAGGCACTTGTTGATGGCTAGACTACAAGTGAACAGAGATGCAGCTAAAAACTGGTCTGGGAGGATCTGCCCTAGAATTAAAAAGATACTTCAAAAAAATATGAAAGATGGTGCAGAGTGTATTCCCATGAAAAGTGGTGATTGGCACTTTGAAATCATAGGCCCTTATGATCAACACACAGTTGATGTTGCTGGACTGAGTTGTAGCTGTAGAAAATGGGATTTGACAGGAATCCCTTGTAAGCATGCATGTGCTGCCATTTGGTGTAGACATGAAGATCCTGAGTGCTATGTTGATGACTTGTATAGTCAAAACACATGCAGAAGTGCATATGAAAATGCCATCATGGGGATTTCATGTTCTGAATTGTGGCCTGAATGTGATTTACCAGCTCTTTTGCCACCAATATATGAAAATAGGCCTGGTAGGCCCAAAAAATTGAGGAGGAGGCAACCTGATGAGCCTCCTGCTCCATCCTCTCAAACCAGGCTTAAAAAGGTTCAAAATTCAGTGAAATGTGGAAAGTGTGGTAAACAAGGCCACAACTCTAGAACTTGCAAAAATCAACAGTCTGAAAGTAGAACTCCAGTGGCAAGAAGCATGGGTGGCACTCAGTCTCAGTCACAATCTCAATCACAGTCTCAATCTCAGTCTCAATCTCAGTCTCAGTCTAAGCATCACTTTCAGACTCAGAAAAGATCAAAGCTACCTGTAAGTATAATTTGATGAAAGTATGATTTGATTTGATTAGTTGTAACTTTTATTATTCAATATCACTTTTCAATTACATGTAACTTTTATTATGTTGGAATGACAGGTTAAGAGGAGGAGAGAGTCTGCCACACTTGGTGGTGTAAACTTAAGTGGAGGCACAAACAGAGTGTCTTCAATTAATGTAAGTTTTTTTTTAATCTTTTGTGCATGTTGTTTTTTCTCATATATATATATATATATATATATATATATAATATTTCACAATTTTTCTACTTTTAGATGATGCAATCATCTTCTGGAACTGGACCAGTCATTGTGAAGGGAGGTGTCAACTACATTACCCTTTCAAATTTAAGAGCTGCTGATGCTGCTGCTCAGGGGACTTCAAAGCAAAATGAGGGACAGAAATCCATTTGAGGGTATGCTGGAGATGGAGAATGTATTGATTTGTTGTGTGAGTGTTATGGACATGTTTG